TATTTGTTCAGGAATCCCCATCTCTTTTGCTGAAGACACTTAGACAAATTATATTGATCCTCACAAATTTCCATGTAAGGGCAACAAAATGTAGCTTGAAAAAATTTAAACTAAATTATTTTTTTTTTAATTGGTCATGTTGTTGTTAAGTGCTATCAAGTTGATTCCTACTTATAGTGACCCTGTGTGGTAACTCATGATGTCATAATCCCCCCACCTGGAACTGCCTCCCAGAATCCTTGGTGGTGGTGGTGTGCTGTGGAGTCGATTCCGATTCATAGCAACCCTGTACAGTGTTTCCGAGGTTGTAAATCTTTATGGGAGCAGAAAGCCTCATCTTTCTCCCGAGAAACAGCTGGTAGTTTCAAACTGCTGACCTTGAGGGTAGCAGCCTGATTCGTAACCACTACGCTACTAGAGCTTCTACAGAATTCTTAGTCATGTTTAATATCAATCTTAATCACAGAGTAATATGTGGTAAAGAGTTGTAAACTGCTTAAATGTAACATTTCTTAGATTATATGAATACTGACAACAGAAGTGTTTTATAGAAGGATAAACTTTTAAAACACTGAATTACAACACAATTCATTACATTATTAGTAACTGAGTCAAAGCCTTTTATGATATTTCTCCTTTTCCTTTCATTACTTCTTCATTCTCAAAAAAGTTATACATGTAGGTCAACAAATATTACTTACCATAATATTGTAACTAAAACACCTGGAATTTGACAAAATCAGCAGCAACAAAATCAGCAACACGTACTTGTAGCATATGCAGGTGAAAATGTGATTCAAAGCATCATTGTAACCAAGTAATAATAGCTCTGACCAAAACCCATGAGAAGCTTCAAAAAGTAAATTAGCATAGTTTTATCCTTGTAGGTATATTGGTACGTGTAAGCTGGGTTTACAAAAAATGTTTTTGTAAGCCTCCCAAAAATGTTTTGTGAAATACAGGGGTGTTTTAATTAAAAAATAATAAATTTCTGCTGAAACATTGCACAAAATTATCATAGACATTTTGGTGTCTCTCCCTCTCTCGGTGTCACTCGAAGAGGTCCATGACCCTGGGGGCATGATGCCACTGTTTCTGTCCCTCTCCTGTCTGGACTCAATGAGGACACAGGAAGTTCCATCAATTTCCCTGTTGAGCCTCAAATCTTGGTTCTACTTTCATATCCACCGAAGTCTATTTGGTGTCCTGGTGTGGCATTGTTCAAGCTCACCAGCCACTCTTCAGAAACCCTATACAGGGTTGCTATGGGTCAAAACCGACTTGACAGCACTTAACAACAACAAAATCTATTTGGAGGGAAGACGGCTTACTTCTCTACCTGAAAGGGGTAGAGTAGGATAGATCATCAATGACCAAGGAATTCTTAAAGGCCAAGTGCATTGTGGAACCAAGGTAATCAGGTTGTTGTTGTTGTTATGTGCCATAGAGTCATTTCTGACTCATAGTGACCCAGCATGTCTTTACAGGAGCAGAAAGCCTCCTCTTTTTCCTGGAAGAGTGACTGGTATATTCAAACTACTGACCTTGCAGCTAGCAGCCCAACTTGCAACCTATATACCCTACCAGAGCTCTTTAGGTAATCATGTTGAGTAGGTTCTGACTCATAGCAACCTTGTATATGATTTTTTCTGAGGTGCGGCTGGAGAGTTTGAACTTCCAACCTTGCAGTTCAGTAGTTATCCTATAGTGCCACATCAGAACTCTTGAACTATTTCAAGGGGATATTAAATGCTTTTAAAAATCAGATGTTTAAATCACAGTAGTAGCAACAAGTGCTTAGAGCTGTCCATGGTGCTGACTCACCTCCCTTCCTTTCAGGGTTTTCACTGAAATGAGATCGGTGTCAGATTTTTAAATAGTAGAAAAATGCAGCAAGAAAACTGAGAAGGTAGAGATACATACAAAATCAGTGTCTGAAAACGAGGGCAGGCAGTAACCCGATATGTCAAATCTCTCTAGTTAGATCTGTGGTGACATCCACTAGATAGTCCAAACCAACACTGCAATTGACTGAGGGACTGAGTGTTATGGGCAGAGGTCATCCTGATCTTGTAAAGTGTGATGGGCAGAAGACAATCTTAATTATTATGATTATCTTTATTATTAAAGCAGACTCTTGACTTACCAGCCAACCTGCTATACTTGTCCTTAGAAAATCTTCCTTGGGCAGGAGAAAAGAATCACTAAGGAACCCCTTCTATCCCCTCATAATAACCCTGACAGTAAGCATATGGACAGAGATAGAAAAGGCTCACCCTTATCTCCTCAGCATTTTTTTAACCTTCTGGAGACACTGAATTAGGGGTACACAATGGTTACTAGCAGGGTGGTTGGTGGGCATACAGCATGGAATACCAGAACAGGTATCTGAGCTAACATCAGAATACTTAGACTGAGTCCCTTTCTGTGTGGGCCTGAAAAAGCGTTCAACCTCTTTGGGCCTCACAGTTTTTTGGTAATAAACAAGTGGGAATTAGGGGTGGTAATAAAGTGCTTTCCTTTAATAATTTACAAGTTGTTTTAAGGGTTAAATTAAATATCTTTAATACCTGGCAGAGTGCCAGGTGCATACAGTGTTGGAAATGGAGGAGGACTGTGCTAGTACTGTATGCCTTGAAGACTAGATATTTTATCTGTGCCTAATCTGAGAGCACAGTGGTTTGTAGGATAGACTATGAACCACAGAGTTGGCAGTTCAAGTCTACTCACCATTCCATGGAAGAAAGATGAGGCTTTCTGCTCCAGCAAATATTTACAACTACAGAAACTCTATACAGGGTCACTATGAATCAGAACCAACTTGACAGCACTTAACAAGAGCAACCACAATCTGAGTTTATACAGTGTTATGGAAAGTTTCATTGCTTAACTTATGCTAAAGCAAAATAGTCTAAATGATATGTATGGTTAATTGTTTTTATAAACAACCACCCCCTTTGCCAGGAGACTAGAAGAACTGGATGGTGCCTGGCTACCGTTACTGAATGTTTTGATTAAAGAATCCATAGAAGAAACATCATCAAAAGAAGGAGGTGGATGCAGAACAGAATTTCGAATTCTCATAGACTTTAGACTTCTTGGAGCCCTGAGATAATCTTTAAACCTTAAACCAAAAGTATCCACTGAGATCTTCTTAAAAGCAAACCATTGTTGTTGTTGTGTGTTGTCTAGTTGGTTCTGACTCATAGTGACCCTATGTAGGGTTTCTAAGGCTTTAAATCTTTGTGGGAGCAGACAGTCTCATCTTTCTTCCACAGGGTGGCTGGTGGGCTCAAACCACTGACCTTGTGGTTTGCAGTCCAGTTCTTAGCTCAATAGTTTAACTTAATTAGTCAAGAATGTCTTTCTTGAGCATTATGCTCTTTATGGAGATGGAGGCCTGGTGTGGTGCTGTAGGATAAGTACTGAACTACTACTAATTACATGTCAGTGGTTCAACCTCACCAGCCACTCCTTGGAAACCCTATACAGGCTGCTATGAGTTGGAACTTACTCAATGGCACTTAGCAACAACAGGAACTCTGTACGGGATCCAATGGATAACTGCAACTGGAAGGACTAGACTTGAGAGAAATGTAATCTAACCTTTTGTGTTGCAGTGAGTTTATGTTAATGGGAAAGGAGCAGTTCAGACAAAGAGGGTGACATGAGTTGTATAACGTGAAGAATGTAATCAATTCCACTAAATTGTACATGTAGGAACCATTGAGTCAATATATGTTTACCTATGTATATGTTGAACAGCAGCAAAAAAAAAATATTATTTTTTAAAAAGCAAAATGGTTTAATTTCTTCAGGAAGACAGCTTGCCAAGTTATGTTTCATCAGCCACCCCAACACATAAGTCTTCAAGGGGAAAATTCAACATTTAGGACAGCTCTGGGTCACAGGTGAGGAGGCTCAGAAAAGACTGAAGCAGACCTGGCGCTGGTGGCTTTACCACAGGCAGCTTTAATGCAAGATAGGAGCGATGAATGAAGCTGTATAGATTCAGACAGCAGTATGAATTAGAGAAGTGAACTTTAGTATTTAACAATTCCATTCTAATTACATATACTAGAATGTCAAGGGCCAAAGTCAGAAAATAAATAAATAAATAAAGTGGCAGGATGATCTGAAGACAGAAAAAATATAACCCAAGAAATGTTGAGAGCATGAACTTCATCACAATTGCAGATGTGATAAAATCTTCCTTTAAGTACTTGAAAGTTAAAAATATATTGCTTGCTTGGCTTCTATACACTTTATAGTTTATATTTATAAATGAATTTGACAAATTTTAGGCTTACTATTATAAATAAAAGGGGCACTATAGTCGGAACCAACTCAATGACACTTAACCACCACAACAACATTATAAATTGACAAGTATATCACTCTTTATAGAAAACCCATGGGAAGTGACTCTGGTAGCAAAACTTTCTTTTTCTGAAGTTTCATGCATGAACTAAGTAGAATGAGTCTTCTACATCACAAGAATCACCCCGTGGAAACTAGGAAGAAATGAACTTCATCACTAAACATGCCCAGAAATATTGACTCTCTTAACTAATGGAAGCATCACAACAGTGACATTCACCCACTTTCAGTTGCCTGTCCCCTAGGGTAGGTAGAATCAGCATGCTGTCAGGGCTCTGGGTGGCCATGAGTGGGTCTGACCTTGAGGGGGGCTACCTTTGTTGTCGTGCCAAATCCTCAGCTTGCAGAGGTGGCCCAGGCTCAACATGTCAGAGAAGTTGAACGTGTCTGTGTTGTTCCGCTCGAACTTGTTCCAATTGGCAGACTGTTTCAGGGCCAGGGTCCCACTGTCCCCATTCTCTCCAAAAATGATGATGAAGACGTTAGCATCAGTGCCCGCTCCTGAGGGGAGGCACAAGATATGGGTACAGATACCAAGTTTTGCAATGCACAGCCCTCTAGCTTTGCCCCTGTACTAGGAGTACAACCAACCCAAACCAAACTCTTGGACAAGAGTCTCTCCCTCACTAGCCTTGGTGGTCTTGTGTATAGAATGAGTGAGCTGGAAAACCTTCTCTGTATGGAACCTACTGACTCTAACAGTCTTTGCTGCTTTGATCCTGGTCCAGGTTAGAAAGAAACCCACCACTGCCAATGAGTCAATTCTGACTTATAGCAACACAACGGGACAAAGAAGAACTGTCCTGTAGTTTCCAAGCTGTGATCTTTACAGAAGCAGACTGGCACACTTTGTTCTCCCACAGAGCTGCTGACTGATGGCTTCAAACCATTGACCTTGTGATCAACAATGAGCACTTAAATACTGAACTACCAGGGCTCACCAGAGGTGTACAGGGCAGAATTCAGAGTCAATGAAGCCAGGAGTGAGATCGGAAAGGGCAGGCAATTGCCCTGAGTTATTGGGCCTCCTATTTTATCCTTCACCTTATTTTTTCTGCCTTGTAAATGATGTTGGCCTAACACAAGTCATAATTAGCAAATATGAATGGCTTAGTGCAAAACTCTTCTGCAACTAAGGAAAGCATGTTCAACCTTTAAAGACATACTGTGTTGAAGAACAAAGTAGGCATCTTACTTCCAGATCTCAAAATTTACTACACAGATATGAGAGTCAAAACAGCCTGGTGCTAGAGAATTCAGAAGTAAATCCATTCACCTATGTTCAGTTGATCTTTGACAAATGGTCATCAGGTATTGTTGTTGTGTGCTGTTGAGTCAGTTGTGACTCAGAGCAATCTTGTACAGGGTTTCTGAGATTGCAAATTTTTATGGGATCAGAAAGTTTCATCTTTCTCCTGTGGAGCAGCTGGTGGGCTCTAATTGCTGACTTTTTGGTTAGTAGCCCAGTGCATAACCCACCATGCCACCAGCTGCCTCTTGTGCAGGTACAGTCCTTGCTCCCTAAATCTACCTCTGGCTGACACCTTACACTAGAATGTCATATCATTTACTTAAGCCAAACAAAAATATTAATGCTTGCTGGTGCTGTTGAATAAGCACTGGACCGCAAGGTTGGTTTGAATGTCAAGGTGGGCAGTTCAAAGTCACCAGCTGCCCCTGGGAAACTCTATGAGTCGGACCCAAACTGACGGCATTTAACAACAGCAAATATTTTTGGAAAAGGTGACCTTGTAAAGCTCTTGTGAAACACAGCCTGCTGTTATCAATAAGCTTATCATTTATCTGCTGAGAGTATTTTGAAGGGGTGGCCCAACTTGAAAACACAGACACTTGGAACTTTAAACAAAAGGGATGAAGGCTCCATTATGAGGGGTAGGGAAGAAGGAAGGTGCTCAAAGCAAACGTTTCCAACTTCACTGACCCATCACTTATGCCTTAGATCCTACCATGAGAGCTTTATTTCATTGGTTAAATGCTTCTCTGCTGAAAATACAAGCTACATCCGAGTAGTTCTAACAAATTAATGCCTCACCAACTAGTAGCCAGTTGGTGCTGAACTGTCTGCAACTCATGGCAAACCTATGTGTGTCAGAGAAGAACTGTGTTCCATAGTGTTTTCAATGACTGTTTTTTGTTGTTGTTTAAGAAGTCAGTCACCAAGCATTGTTTCCCAAGATGCCTATGGGAGGACTAGAACTTACACAATTTCTGTTAGTAGTCAAACATGCTAAGCATTTGTACTGCTCAGGAATTCCAGTGCTCACTAGCCATTTATGATCAGTGTGGATGAGTTGGTTAGATTCCTTGTAGCAGCTCCTGGGAAGTATGCTGACACGGGAAGGGTGGACAGAGACAGTTTCTCCATGGCAGGACAGTAGTATGCATCCGTGCTGGTCCCAGCCTCCCACATGCTGGTACTTTTGCTTGGAAGGCTCTTCCTATGTGCCTTTCTGCCCATATAGCTCCTGTTAATCTTTCCAGACTTGGTCTGGCACCACCTTGAGTAAGAACACCCCAAATTATTTTAGGGCTCTTGTCACGAGATGGTGGGTCTGCTAAGGCCTTGAGGCCAAAACTCCACTGTGAATCAAAAGGAACTTCTGCATGAAGAATTCAGCCTGTCATTCTGTCCCTCTCCACTGTCCCCTGGGAAAACTACTGGGTACACAACTTCAGGGAAGAAGCTGATTTTTTTTTTTTTTTCTTAATTAAGGGTTTTGTTTAATAATACACCCTGCTTTGGGTACTTGAGTAAAACAAATGCTTACTCAAGACAAACCTTAGAATGACTCATGTCTTTCCTATGGCCACAAAAGGAGGATCTCATGGTTGTTTTAATGCCAGTTGCTTCCAGTTTTGCAACCATTTACCTGAATATCAACCAATCACTGAATTTTTACTCAAGTTCCTTGTATTTTCTTTTAAAACCACTTAAACTGTCTCTTACTGGGATCAATTGGTTCAGAATCCTCTGGATCTGGTGATTCCCAATTCACAAATTGCCTTTTTACTTTTAAAACCAAGAAGAGGTTATCACATTAAAGGAAGCACTATTTGATGATTACCAGGGGTGAGAGGGAAAGAGAGGGTAAATTACTGGTTAGAGGGCAAGACACATGTTAACTTGGGTGAAGGCGAAGACAAAATACAATAGGAAGGATGTCAGCAAAAATAAAGGAAGACACTGGGAGGAGGAGTTCAAGAGTTAAAGGCAACAGAGATCAATACTGTTAGATACACAATCATGTAATAATGGATAGACATGCAGACTCAACAGGTGTGGGGGGGAGTGAGGTTCTACCCCAGAGTATATATGTAGGGTTGACAGAAGATTGACATGTGTACATGGACATTTACCTCTGCTGCAGATACACTCATGAATGTGGTGGAACACACAGGAGACAAAGTTATAAAACAGTGCAGCATGTTAATGCGCTGGACTGCAAGGTTGGCTTAAACCACAAGATCGGTGGTTCAAGCTCACCAGCCACTCTTTGGAACCCCTATACAGGGGTTGCTATGAGTCGGAACCAACTTGACTGATGGGACTTAACAACAACAACGAGACACAACCAAGCACGTTGAGGGAATGAGTCAAGGGACCTAAGAGCCCAGGACCCTGGTCTCAGAGGACACCAAGGTCAATTGGCATAACATAGTTCACAAAGACTATGTTCTACGTCCTACTTTGGTGAGTAGCACCCAGGGTCTTTAGTAAGTATCCATCTAAGATGCAACTATTGCTCTCTCCCTGTTGGTAGGAAAGACAAGTGAAGAAACTCAAAGATGAAAGGAAACAATTAGTCCAATGGACTAATGGACCATGGGGACATCAATCTCTATGACCTTGAAAGCAGAAGAACTAGACAGTGCTCAGCTATCATTGCCAACTGCTCTGAAAGAGATCACATTTGAAGGTCTTGGATAGAGTGGGAGAAAATGTAGAACAAAACTCAAAATCATAAAAACCACCATGCTTACTGGTCAGATAGAAACTAGTGGAACCCCTGAGACTATGGTTGTCAGTCACCCTTAATATCTGGAACTGAATCCACTCTCATGGCTCAGTTGTCAGCCAAACATCAGACAGGTCTATAAGAAGCACATTAACACTAGGGAGGTAGGCACTCCTTAGAAAAATCAACCATTTGAGATCAAAAGGGCAGCATTTATCCAAGAACAAAGTTCAGAAGCATTAGAAAAGAAGGAAGAATGGAAACTGAAAACAAAGGAGGAAGGTAGGATAAGTGATATTACATTATGGAGGATTGTAATCAATGAAGCGAAACAGAATGTGTATGAATTGTTGAATGGAAAACTGATCTGCTCTGTAAACCTTCATCCAATTCACAATTAAAAGTTTCGTTGTTTTTTAATAAAAAGCTTTTTACTTTTAATTTCAACTAGACCCTGCCATCTTTGCTTTTTGAAAGTCTCCTCTGAGAAGATATCTATGACCCTCACCCCTGGTCTCCAGCTAGGTAAGTAAGGCCTACTCATTTGGTGCCCTAACCCACTGTGCCAACCTCAGTTAGACCCAGCACTGAGAGTGCTCTACTACCATGTCAGACCTTGCGGGCTTGGGGTTACATCTGTATCTTAAGACTCAGGGCCAAGGCTGGACCATAGCAGATGGTTGACAAACCATGGCTAAGGGCAACCGATATGCACGGGCACCTGGGTGAGATACAGAGACCAGAGGAGCTGGAGGGCTTTCGAGTCAGGCTGCATCTGCTCCTTGTCAGAAGTGCCAACCATGCTCTTCAGTAATGTTCTCCCCATGGCTCTGAGCACTGGTAAGAAATCCTTTGCCCAAATAGAAAGTGATACACTGCAGAGGAGACTTGGATTGACCAGCTTCTGGATGGTCCTCCAGAGAAAAACACCCTGACCAGAGCCCAGGACCAGTGCTAGAATATAAGGGTGGGGGCAAAGAGGTGGGGGGCCCAGACGCACCCAGAATGTTGCTGGTCTTCACTGTGACGGTGTAGGAAGTCCGCTCCATCATCTCCTCTCCATCAATGACGGCACATATCTCACACACGAGGGTCTTCTTGCCCTTCCGCTGGGACAGCCAGTCTCCGTAGTAGAACATTGTCAGGTCTCCCGTATTCATGTTCTTCAGGAGGATCTGGAGGGGAGAGGGCCCATGTGGGAAGGACTAGTGTCAGCCCCAGGACCTGGGCTCCCCAGCCAGGCTGCTGCTGGCCAGGCTCGGACCACTCCCCTGGAAAAGGGCTTAGGGTCAAGATGGACAAAGAGGCTGTCTCCTGAATGCATGGTCAGGGGCCCACAAAGCTCACTGGCCATCCTGCCTGAGGTTCCACCCAGTGCTCCCTCTGCCCCCGCTCTTGCCACTGCTTTTTGGATTTGCCCTGACTCACTTCCTCAAAGAAGCCCACCTGATGCTGTCTCCCTCAACCCAATGCAGATCATGCTGGATTCTTGAACAATTTTGATTGGACACAAATAACGCCAAGTTCTCTTTTTACTTCATGCCAAAGGACACATTGGATTACAGGCTGGATTTATGTTATCAGCCTTCTAGAAGACTCATCCTGACTCACCCCAGAGGAGCAGGGAGGAGGGGTAGGGAGAGGAGAGCCAAGCAATTACCTTTTCCAGGAACCACTCGGGCCGGCTACCCTGGCCATCGATTCGGATCCGCATCTTGGTGAAGGGGGCAATGTCTAGAATCTCCATGATGAAGGTGTCGTCCTGCTCTCGTTCAAACCTGGGGAGCAAAGAGGGGCATGAAGGAAGGAGTCTGGGCATGGGGAGAGGCTGGGCGTGAAGAGAGGCTGGGTGCAGGGAGAGGCTGGGCTGGGGCAGGGGCCAGAACTGGGATAGGAGCAAGTTTCCTCCCTTTGTCCCCAGGGACCCCTCAACAGCCTGGAGCACCCCAAAACACTGAGTTAAACACTGAGTTCTCTAGGAACTGAGAGCCACCATTCAGCTAGTGTTTTGGGAGGACCCAGCTCATCCCTGGGACTTGGCTTTCTTGTGGAATATGGAAAGGAGGACGCCAGCTCTGCAATCTCACAAAATTGTCGTGTGGACCAAGGAGATACGAAATCAACACACAATGTAAAAAGGATTCCCTACTCATATTTGCCAAGGTTGAGATGAGATTCTAGAGTGAGAGGGGCCTCCATGAATGGTGGGTATGTTGTGTCCTGCACCATTCTCGACAGTGCCATTCACAGTCTGCACAGGTGAGCACAATCATCCTGGACTGGGTCACGACACTACAGCTGTAAAGTGCAAGCTAACTAGGAAGTGCCATTGCTTTGACTGTTTTTCTACCAAATGGCCCCATCATCTCAGAGACACTTCATCTTTATTCCTGGCTGCTCTCTGCACAGTGCTGCCCGTACAATGCAGCCTTCAATGCTGACTGATTCCAGACAACGATGTTGACAAGTCCCTCGGGCTGGTGCAGGTGGCATGGGTAGACAGCTCCGCTTGCTAATCATTATGCTTCTTTGAATATGAGAGATTTTTTTATAAACAGAGGTCACAAATGCTGGGACTGCAAATGCTGCAAACTGAGAACTAACTTCCCCTAATGGAACCTTGGAAGGAGCTCTGGTGTCACTGTAGGATTACTAGCTGCAAGGTCAGCAGTTCTAACCCACCAGCTGCTCTGAGGGAGAAAGATGAGGCTGCTCCTGTTAAGATTTATAACCTATATAGGGTTGTTATCAGTGGGAATCAGCTTGACGCAGTGGGTTAAT